CCATTTTGGTGCATTGCCCTGCTGAAAGAGGCCACAGTCATCAAAAAATACTGCTTCCATAAAAGTGTGTTCATAGTCTGCAAAAATGCTTAGGTAGGTGGTACGTGTCAAAATAACAGCCACGTGGATGGCAGAAACCAAGGTTTCCCCACAGGACATTGCCTAAAACAGGTGCCAGGTGTTCTCCAGACCATCGACATGATATAAAAGAAAGCGTGATTCATCAGCCCGGGCCACCTTCCTTTATTGCTCTGTGGTTCTGTTCTGCTTACGTTCCCTGTTGGTGCTTTCATGGGGAGCATGGGCACTCTGACTAGTCCACAGCTATGCAGCCCCATATACAAAACACTACACTGCTCTGTGTCTTCTGACACCTTTCTATCAGAACCAGCATGAACTTTTTGTGCACTTTGAGCTACAGTAGCTCGTCTGTTGGTCAGGGCACACGGGCCGGCCTTCACTCCCCACATGCATCAGTGAGCCTTGGCCTCCCACGACCCTGTCGTTGGTTCACCACTCTTCCTTTAATAGACCACTTTTGATAGGTACTGACCACTGCAGACTGGGAACACCCCACACTCTGCTCTGACTCAGTTATCTGGCCATCACAAGTTTGCCCTTGTCGCACTCGCTCAAATCCTCACACTATCATTTTTTCCGGCTTCCCACATATAAACTTTAAGGACTAAATGTTCATCTAATATATCCCACTCACTAACAAGTGCCACTATGAAGAGATAATCAGTGTTTACTTTACCCGTCAGTGGTCATAATGTTATGACTGATTGGTGTTTTATGCATCAGTATGTAAACACAGAAAAAAATCAGTCAACAAGATGAGACAAAGCAGTGCTCGCAGCTCTGAGATGTCACGTATGCAGACCTGAGTGAGTGCTAGAATACTGACGTAGTGTAACAGGGGAAGTAAATTTAATCTTACAGTCTTAGCATGAAAAACACAAAGTTTTGGCAGGTGTTTGTGGAAACCAAGCTCAAATTCTGCAAAGTAATTGTGACCTGTGACCTATCACCTGACTAGAGAAAAAGTCAGGTGATCACTGGCAGCCAGAAAAGAACTGGCACCATGAGGAAGATCCTCTACTGCACATACAAAAAGCAAAGGCTGTACCTGTTCTTAAGCTTGTTCTCCATCCACTTCAAGACCGTCTCCTTGTTTGGCATGACGCCACGTCCTATATTTGGATCGCTCTCTAGGAGACCTTTTTTAACCACTTGTGCACACTGCTGCTTGGTTTCAGTAAGATTTTGCCACTGACCTAGAAAGTAATGTTGTCTGCTGAAATCTCAGATGCACATGTGCAAATAATCAAAGGGGCAGTTCCAGAGTGCTTTTACAAGGAGACAACCGTCAAAAGTTAAATCAGGTATGACCCAATAGGCACTTCTTTCACTTTCGACCAAAGTTGTGGACGCACTGACCTCGTCGTCTCTAAAGATGCCCTGGTAGCCTTACTAGTGCTTTTGTATTTATACCAGCTTACAGGAGACACATATTGGAAAAGCACAGTTAAAGTGCCTTTGAGCTGAGGGTGTTGTTTATTTTCAAATAAATATCCCTGTCTATCACTTTCAGCCTCTTTCTCCGGACTTCTCCTGCTGGCATTTGCCATCGCAGCCGCCATCTCCGGCATAGTCATCCTCCTCCTCATCATCGCATCCTGCAGGAGATGCAAGAGGAGGAGGCAAAGGGAGCTGGAAGGGAATGAGGAGGCCCCGCGCAAAGAGCGAAAAGACCCCACCGCGTGGTAAGAAAAGAGACAAAAGGGAAAGAAAAAAGAAGAATCACACACTTTCTCTCCCGTTCTCAGTCTAACTCTGGGGATCAGGGCTTGTGGTCCTCCCTGCAGCTCTTTTCCTATCGGACAATTCGCTTTCTTCCTTCCTCTCCAACTACAGTCTTTGGATCCTACAGATTTGGACCAATCAAATGGGCAGCTTTTACAAAGCAGACATAAAATGAAAAATGTGCCTTTGTGCTGAAAGCAGTAGACACTGACCTTTTAGCCAGACTGCTGCGAATCACCACGCGCCTTTCTCAGAAAGGACTGTTTAATCGCATCATCTTTTCCTGTTAGACTAAATGTGCTTCCAAACACACTTCCTGTTTGGAGTAAACTTTTGATGTAAACTTAGAACAATGGTGTATTCCTGTTGCTTACTTCCCTACTGATACATTTTAAACTCCTTCATAGCAATGCACCACAGCGCATGTTTGTTATAGTAGTTCAGCAAACAATAGAAACAATGCTACAATGAAAGTGCTTCTGTTGAATTCCTTTAATCACCACATGATGGTATTATTGTGAAACCCACACAAAGCTGTTATTTCATTAGTCATTAATATTGGCTGTCTGATTCTGTCTTCCGTGGTTCATGTGAAGCTGCATGAGGATGCTGGTTTACGATTCTGTTTTGTTTTGTTCCACTGCTGAAGTGAAATTGCTGTACTTCTCTGACATCCCGTGTCGTCGTTAGCCTGATTTTGTGACTGGTGTAATATAACCGAGGTGCTTTGCAACAATCAAGATCTGTTGGTGAGCTGCTTTGTTGGAAACAGACATTTTTAACCAGCACTTTTGTATAAATTCAATAACAACACAGAAACATTAACACGATCAGCTCTGAATTCTTTTCTTTTGAACCATTTTAATGGCCTTCTGTCTGTTTCAAACAATGAGCTAATTAGTCAAAAATACACTTTTTTTCTTGGGCGCTGGAGTTTTCTTTGCTTCTCTCTTGGGTTTTCAGATCTCTCTGTAAAAGGTGCAACGATTATTTGTTTTTTTTCTATGAAATACAGTGTTACTGTAATGCGTCACACCGCGAAAGTGTTGAGGAAGTTTTGTTCTTCTTGCTGTCACTGATCAGATTTATTCAAAGTGTCTCTCCTGCTTAAAAAAATATGTTGTATAAGAAGGAAATAATTTCACCCAATCAGAGCTCATGGGGGAGAAATGTTCATCCAGCCTTTCCTCTTAATTTGGGACAGATTATTCCTAGCTGATGCTAACCCTCTGTCCCTGCTGCTGTGTGTCTGCTTGTCTTTGTCCTTTGACCCCGCCCCCCCAATGTGTGTGACTTGTGGCTGTGTACATGTATGATTTATAAATGTGTCATGCATGAATGCATATCCCCTTATGTCTATATGTGCCGTGTTCGCTCGTCTCCCCCGTTCGCCTGTGTGTGCATATCTGTGTACGTGTTTGTCACAGCCACCCATCGAAGGCCGTCCACCTCTACTTATCAGAGACTTCCATAGAGATTGACAGTTCAGACGGCATGGTTTCAGATCCCAGCACCAGAGACTCGAGCTCCTCCGAGGAAGAAGGCCCGAGCTTGGATGACGATGATGGTGGTGACGACTCAGATTGAGGAGGAGAAGCTGAAGCCAGCCAGGAAGCTCGACGGAGGGATGCAAGATGATACCTGCGGACCTCGCCATCAGGCCCAGCGGGGGTCAGATTAAAAAAGTGCTGCTGCTGAGGTTGAATTGTGCAGTCTGTACAAATCTGTGAGGAAAACTGAAAGTTTGAAAACTTTTCAAGCAAGCAAGCAAGCACAGAGAGGTTAGAACAAGGCTTCTGCTGAATGAGCACAGAACAAAAGTAGAATCGTTTTACTTGACTGAGTCCGGAAATATTCATATGTGGGGAGAAATGTGTGAGTAAAAGTGCAGGGTTTGTGTAAGTAACCCTGAACTCTTGGCTACTGTCCTGAAGGGAAGAGGGGACAATTCTTAATCAATAGCTGTCTCCTGGGTGACACGTGGATCTTGTTACGTGTAGGAAGTCAATACCAAAATCAGCTGCACCAAGCAATCGATTTCCCTAAAGACATTGGCGTGGATTGTATTTAGACAGAAAGAGAAGGACACCACTGCTGATGATCAGCCATATATGCAGATCTTTATTGCACTGAGGCTTTTTTTCTTTCATCGTCTTAATGGAGAGTATCTCTGGTACCCGTGGGCTAATCTTTCACACAGTGGCTTTGTTTTACAGTTAAATGTCATTAAAGATAATGTACAGGAGGTCTTCCATTTCAGTCGGTTATGCACACCATCGTGACGCCAGCCTGCGAGTGCTGGTCAGGAGTAGCTTTGTCCTACTCGAGTACACAGAGATGCGTACAATGTGTCATATCAAATGGAGAAACAAAGCATAAATATTGCTGCCATTTTTTCTCAAGGCCAAATATCTGATCCATGAGCAAGCAGCTTCGCATGCACCTGCCCTGAGTGTTGTGTGGGAGCGCACAGTCAGATCTGAAAACCCTTTTGATTTGAAAATGAGAGCTTGTTTTTTTTCCCCCTCCATGCGCCTGTGAATGCATCGTGTCTACTAACAAATGAATTTGCTGCCTGTCTTTCATCCTTGTGTGACAGACTTTTTACTTCTATGTGAATATTGAGCACTATGTTTATAGATTTTTATTTTCTTCTTTTGTAGATAAAGCCAGAAATATTTTATCATGTTGTTTTAAAAAGTGTCATTCTATGTATTTGTTATAGAGCTTTTCTAAAGAAAATAATAAAAAAAAGAAAATTTTCTAATAATCACAGCCCTTGACTCTTGACTACATTCAGTTTCACTGCACAAAAAAAGACATGGACATGCGGACCTTCACTTAGAGCTCAGTGTGATTTGATATATGTCATCTATTATGTAAGAGAGTAATCTTGTTATCCAGCATTTATTATGCATCATTATCTTTAATGCATTATCTACAGCTGCGTGTTTATTGTGCGTCTAGAGAGCTTTACACTTGTTGTACCTGTAAACATTAATGTCCTGAATCACTGTTTCATTCCTTGCAGGTTCAGTATGCTCATACCTGCCTTTGTCACTTCAGTCTGGGTTTGTTTGCTGAATTCTGATTGGTCATGTCTACAAATATGTCACTCTATACATTTGTCTGTGTGTTTGTGTGTGTGTGTTTGGCAGTCCATTTGTGAGCACCGATCAAAGTCTGGCCAGCTTTAGTTACTGAGTGACAGACTTTAACAGTGTCAGCAAGTCTGCAGGAGGGTTAACTAAAAATGGAAGTGGGGATGTTAAATAATTATATTTCATAGTAGAAAGAGCAATAATAATAATAATAATAATAATAATAATAATAATAATAATAATTGGCTGTGGATGTTTAAATAACATAGTGTACATCTTGATTTTTGACTTTCTAGAGTATTATTTATCCTCATTGACCAAATTTGAATGCAACACCCAAAACACTTTTGGGTAAATTAATGACACCACTCTCTGTGCTATCAATCTATTGGCCAGGCAAGCAGAAACATGATGGGAAGGACGGGAGACGCATTAAATTTTCAATGCAGCTGTTGTTCTTAACCCCTCCCCTCTCCTGTCATTGAAAGGAAACACATCGTATGCGACCGAGGTGATTGATTTCTGTGTATCTGCCCTTTGTGCATTCATCCTTCTTACCTATTTGAGAACTAAACTCCCAGGAGAGGTACTCTCGCCCATGACTCATTTAACAAGCCATTGTCTTTCACAGTGTGTTCAGCATTGCCACGCACCCAGAAAACACCTCTATATTCTACAGAGAGCGCACAGTAAAGTAAATGTTGAAGAAATGATTCGTGTCTTTCTTGAACTCACTCCTTTTTCCTGCTTGTGCCGTGTCTTGCTCCGTTCCTCCTTCTCCTTCCAGTCTGCATTCCACACCCAGAGGTGGGCTGTACCTAGCACAGTGTTGTAGAAACATGCTAAATGACTTTACACTCATTTGTGCGTGTATGTGCACACAGAAAACACGCACAGCGAGTTGCAGAAAAAAAAACGCTCACTGGTTATGAATACATTTATTTTAAAGACAGAGAGTCAGCTTTATTCTCAGTGTGAGGTACAGCTTGTACAGCTATGACTAATGTTGTTGTACTTACTTGTGACAGCCTTGAGGAAAATGCATCTGTATGCAAAACCTTTAAAATACACAAACCAGTGCAGCAGATTTGACTTTTTTTCCCTTTTTTCCCAGCTTTTCAGTATAAATCAGCTGATGAAAAGACTGCAGGATTCTCATGTTTTTGCTTTTTCTTGTTTTTTTTGCCCGATGGATGATGGTTCCCATATACCATCTGGCCCATGACAATTTAAGATCACCTTTATTAGCCCCATCCAGTGTTGACAACAGAAGAACGGGCCTCTTGTCCACCGGAGCCACCGGAGAGTCAGTGAGCGGGGACAGACTTCATTGTGACTGAGAAGATTTCAGCTGAAACTGAGACCCCGCCACTGTAACCAGACAGAGAGCCCCTGTATTCATCTGATGTGCCTGCATGTATCTAGGTAAGAGGCTATACTTGATCAGATTATAAGATATCCCACAATATGGAAGGTGTTAGTGCTCATTTCCTGGTAAGCCAGGAGTCCTGCAACTCAGCATCTATTCAAAAAAAGAAAAAGAAAAGAGAGGTGGTATCCCTGCCTCAGTGTGGGAACTGTTACATAATACTGTTAACAGATACAACACAAACACTGTACTTGTGAATGGATACGGGAGGAGGAGGAGAAAGCCTGTGGCCTGTGCCTCTCATCTCTGAGAGAGGGGACAAAAACTTTGCAATCAATTTAGATTCTGCAATTGACCAACCAAAGTGGTTCTCAGTTGGTTTTTCCCTGCAGAGCCCTCCTTTGGTAGATAAAAATATTGTCAAAAAGAAGAGAAAAAATAAAAACAAAATACTGTGTACATCCATCCCAGGGTGATGTCTTTAGGCAGAATTCACCACCACACTCACATCTCACAGTTTACATGGAATAAGCACAAATCTATTTGATCTCTTACTATTTCATGAAACACATTAAGAAAGATTCCTTGAGATCAAGATTAAGAAAGAAGGGATTACTTGCAGAGAAAGTTAATGCCATGGTGCAATCCCTCCCCCAAGATCCTGAACTGCACATTACAAACAATTATATTAGCCTGCTGATATATTACATGTACTATTTCAGAGAGCTGGAGCCACTGTAATAGAGGATGCTGCTCTTACACTGATGTGTCGTAAAATGAAGTTATGGAGGCCCATTACAGCAACCATAGCTGCTGTCAGATTAGAGGGAAAAAGGTCCCTGGCAGAGCAGTTGAATATAAGAATGGAGCTGAGAATTCAGACCAAATAAAGACACAAACATCAAACAATGTGTGCAAACATGTAATTGGGGGATAAAACATAATATCCCACTGAAACTACACTGAGGCTAGAAAAACAAACCCGTTCTCCCACTGGATATAATTATAGTGGTAAAAGCATGCGATCGGGGACAGCGATAGTGGTGTAATATGCTTAGAAATACCAGGAGAGGTCCCAGTAGAGCATCGCTGGGTAGGGTTGGCTTGGGAGATAAGACCTCCACACACAGAGGAGAGTGGGTGGGGGGGAGTTTATTGCAGTTTAATGTGGTTTCATTTTGGCACTTTTTGGCCAATGTCTGTTTTAAAAACCTCAAAACAGGCGTAATAAAACAGTTTTGTTGTATTATTATTATTATTAGAAATTAACCAGCTTAAATACACAACACAAGTTCACATATACTTGCATCAACACACAAGAGATGGCACACTGCCCTTTTCTGATGAATCATAAGTGAATTAAGCATAATACTCAACCACTAAAACGTACTAAAACGTAAATAAACGTTGCTTTATTAATTAAATAACTCCAAATGGGCTTTTTAATAAATAAAATAATATGCGTTATTCTTTTTCTGTTAAAGAGTAAATTTGAGAATTCGTGGATAAAAAACAATAATTACATTTTAGCACTCCAAACAATATGTTGATTAGAGAGCTTGTTCATACTGCCAAATTAACCATTACACAAACATAAAAAAAATATTTTGGTAATTACAAATACTGTTAATTTAGGGCAGTTGTGACATAAACCTGACATCGGGTGGTCTCATACGTTTGTTATCGCTGCTTTATTCTGAAAAACAGGGTTACTACGCGAGTGTTTTGCGTCCCATCGTGGCATTTTCATGGAGTTTCTCATGCGAGTAATAAAAAACACACTAACGAATCAGGCGAGGGTCATAGCTGCATAGTTATCATAAATTGCGTCTCTTTGTATTCAGCGCCTATGCTTAAAATTAATTTTACTGTCTGAGCGCCACTTCCTGATACACCTGTCTGGCAGGTAGCGGTAGGGCGGTCCGCCTAGGCGAGGCTATCGGAGACTGAGTCATGAAAAATTGACTATGGGCGGAATTTTACTGAAGCTTTGACGCAACTTTGGACCTTTTTTTTTTTAAAACTTCACGCATTGGAGCCTGTTTTCCCCCCAACTTTAAAATGCGTCGACCGCTCCGAAGAACCAGCGCTCTGAACGTGGTTTTGCTGCTGTATTGGCTCTGCTGTTTGGGTGAGTAGACCGAGACTCGGCTGTCTTGTTTTTAAACTGGAGCCTCCATACTCGCACAACCCCTGTCGCGTCTTATGTCCCATTTCCGCAATAACTCGTTAAACACAGGCTGTTTAAAATTTAGTTGACGTTTGAGTTTTCAGTGTCGTTAGCTCACCACTGTTAGTTGTACATTACAGGTTTCGTTTTTAAGGCTATCACATAAATGCCCAAGGCAATGGAGGCCTTCTGGGTCTAAAGCCTACTCAACACTTCGATAGACCCAGCACGCCATATTTATTTGTAGTTTTTTTTCGTTTATAGCTTTTCGTTTTAGATATACACTGTCAGTGAATATATAATACAAACCAGTGAATACAAAATATACTAAATGTAATCCAGTAAACACCACGAAGTTGTAGTAAATTCTACTCAGACAAGTGTTAAGTCACTGTCAGCTAATTAATGATTCCCTCTTGTGGTAATAAGCCTAATAATCCACAGAGGCCTGCTAATGTAGCTACCCTGGGGACAGCCACACACGCTCGGCTCTTAATAATAAGCATAATAATAGACCTTAGTTATGAAACCAGCCGTGGGGGAAAAAAAAAAGAATCATACAGTTGGTATTCAGTAACACAAGACCACGGTATTTTGCCGGGCAAATTACATAGATGGCGCTGAACTGTGGGCAGACTTTCAAAAAATAAGAAATATAAATTGTGAAAATGGAGTCATGACTGTCGTGGACAACATAAAACAGGAGGTTGGTGTAACATCAGCATGTCCACAAACGCAGTTCTGTGAAAATGCTAGGATGCTGTGTGAAATGTAGCTAAAAACAATGCAATGATTCAAATATTTCATAAACCCAAATTTAATTGTTAATAGAATTTAGAGATCATATGAAATGTTTAAACTGAAGAAATGTATTATTTTAAGACAAATATTAGCTCATTTTGAATTTGATGGCAGCAATGTGTCCCAAAAATTGAGACCGGGGACTTCACTGTGCACCTGACTGTTTAGCATTGTCTTGCTAAAATATGGAAGACCTTCCCTGCAAAAGACGTTGTCTGCATGGGGGCATGTGCAGCTCTATAACCTGTATATACCTTTCAGCAATGGTGGTGCCAATTCCATAGGCACTAATGCACCCCTGTGCTCTCAAAGATGCAGAACTTATAAGTGAGCAGTGATATCAAGCCAGATTGTTCCTGTTTCCTCTTTAGTCCAAAGGATGTGGTGTCCATGTTTTCCAAAAATAATTTAAAATTTAATGCTATTCTGTGGTCAGATTATTTATGTTCTGTCTCTGTTTTAAGTGGATTTGCCTTTCTTGTATTGTGTTGATGCTTCTTCTTTGCATGATAGCTTTAACCTGAATTTGTGTGATTTTGCCCCTCGCGCACAGAGATTTCTCCAAATTCTTGGAATCTTTTAGTGAATGTACTATAGATGCTTACATATTATTCACAATTTTACCTTGAGGAACATTGTTTTTTAAATTGTTTCACAATTTGAAGATGCAGTTTATTGCAGACTGGTGAAATTCAGCCCACCAGCATAAGCTAAAGAAAAAAAATGTGGAAAGAAATCAGCCTCTCTAAGCTGGTTTTTAATACTCAATCATGCTGCTGACCTAATTGCAATGAACTTAATTGGTTGAAAAAGTTCCCCAGCTGTTTCTTTTTAGTGCCTCTTACATTTCCAGGTGTTTGTTTTCCCCATCCTGACTTTTTTGAGACGTGTTGCTACCATCAAATTCAAAATGAGCATATGTATTTTATGAAAGAGTAAAATGCCTCAGTTTCAAAACACGTTTTGTGTGTTGTATTGTCAAAAAATATGTTTATTTGAGTTTTATTTCCACTTTTTTGCAGAGATTGCTTTGCAAGGTCTTTGTCGATGAATCGGGCTGATTGGATGAGATCTCTTCTGCTCATTTGTTTAATATAAACTTCGGCCTTATTATGTTCCTTGGGATGCTTGGTGAAAGCAGTGGTGTCGTTCTAATAAGATTGGTTATATCAGGGGATCGCTCTATTTTGCTTTTGGTAAATTCTTAAAGAAAATGCATGTTGAGGCTTTTTCTGGAAATGAAGGGCTCTTTCATTTTTGCCCTCCAAAAGCAGTGTGTTAATGTCAGAGATAGCTGAAGGGAAAATGCAGCCGGTTTCACATAAATACTTTGTCTTGAAGGGGACAATGTTGCACCATGATGATGCTTTTATTCACTTTAGTTCGAGTCAAAGTTGGTCAGGCTGTTTTATCAGTCTACCAGTTACAGCTTCAGTTGGAAATCTATCACATAGCCAGAATTTTCATGAGCCCCAGAGGAGGTGACTGTGGCATGCACCACAGCAATGCTGACATTTCATCTTGAGAGTGAAAATACCTTTACAGTTACTGCATAAAACAAAAAATGGCTCCAGATGCACAGTCTCTCAAGGATCATTTCTGGTCATGTTGGTGATCCTCTACATTTTCTGTAAGCAGCAGTTTTATGCATTTATTGAAATAACCATGTCTGGATAGATTGGCCGCGAGAAGCTTGGTGTCTGTGGTTCAGAACAAATCATTTTGGCAAAGCTGTCGGCTAGATTGCTGTGAAATTTGCCACAGATCCCTAAGGTCCTATTAGGGTAAATGGAACTGATTTTTTTTTTATGTAGTGTCACATCGCACCAAACTTTGCACTTTATTTTTACTGCTAATTAGCAATCAACATGTTAAACAAAAATAGTGAACAGGGTGAAATTTCAAACCTTGCTGCACAGTCTGTCCACTGTGTTTTGAATCCAGTCTCCATGGTGTGTGTGCAAGCACTAGCAAGAGAAGCCGTTAGTTAGTTAGTTAGTTAGTTTTGTTTTGTTTATAGGTGTAGTTGAGCGGTTTGTTGTGGACAGTGCTGATGTTGAGTCCCTTGGTATTATCACTGAAGAAATAACAATGAAAAGCCATCTAGAGCGAGACAGAGCTGAAGGCCCCTGAGAGATACAAATGTAAAACAAGGTCTGTCCAATTCAGCAAGAGAGTCGGATGAGTAACTTGCATTAGCGTCAGTCAGTTCTGTGTCTATCCGGAGGATGTTGTTACCTTGGTGTGAGCATATTTGCACACTCTATTTTGCAGTGGGTAAAACGTCACTCACATTGTGTTCTCCTTCCTGCTTTACACACAAATATGTAAATCTGTACATGACTCTCCCATTTTTTTTCTGGCTGGCTTTCATCTCTGACCAGCGGATCTCTCTTCTTCTTCTTTTTCTACTATAATATTTCACCTCCAGCTCCTTCCCCAGTCTCCTCCATCACAGTGACTACACCACCAGAGGTTCATGCATCTAAAGGAGATACTGTCACATTGTCCTGTTCATTTACTTCCACAAGTAGGCCAACTAGTAGGATGACAGTGGACTGGTCTTACCGGCCGCAGAGCGGAGGTCCACCAATGATGGTGAGTATACTTTTATCCAAATTAACTTCAAGGCTGTGTTGCAGCCAGTGTTGCAAAATAATGTGTATGCTTTATTTGCAGCCATAACTGCAGTGAAATGTTAAAGTCTGTAGGTGTAATGTTCAGTCAGCTCTTTCAGAAACATGCATTTTCTCTAAAACACCTGTAATTGACTCATTTTGGGAGTTTTACACATTAAAAGATAATTGGACAAGAGAACAAATAAACACTGTAGTGCACCGGCTGAATGTAGATGTCAGTTGAAAGTATTACTCTGTAAAAGCTCATAGAGAGATCAAAGCTGTGCTCCCAGTAATGACATTATTTACTGAACTAACTAATGATGACTTATTATCACACATGAAAATTAGAAGACCACGACTATAATTTGGTAACAGATAAACAGGATTAAGGGGTTGTTGGGTTTTTTTTTTGGTTTCCTTCGCAGGATAATTAAATCACTGTTCTCAGTAGCTGATTTTTCTATGTCAACGGTTCATAGATTCATTTATTGGTGGCTGTCTGTCTGGTAACAGTTACCTAAATATACTTTTTTAAAAAAAAAAATATTATGGGCTGCTGGTAAGACATTTTTTCAATTCAATTTAATTTATATAGCGCTAAAACAACAGTCACCTCAAGGCGCTTTATATTGTAAGGTAGACCCTACAATAATACATACAGAGAGAAACCCAACAATCATATGACCCCCTGTTAGGAAGCACTTTGGCGACAATGGGAAGGAAAAACTCCCTTTTAACAGGAAGAAACCTCTGGCAGAACCAGGCTCAGGGAGGGGCGGCCAACTGCTGCACCCAGTTTGGGAGAGAGAAGGAAGATAAAAGACATGCTGTGGAAGAGAGCCAGAGATTAAGACAAAATCTCTGACACTGACTGTAGAAATGTAATGCATTTTGTGAAGTCTTTGTAATTAGATTTTATTGAACTGAAATAAAAAGTGTTGGTGAACTGAACTAAACATGACTCAGCCTGGCAGGGAAGGAGCGGATTATTAAGGTGGGGCAAAACAAGACAATCCTTGTGAAACATGTCAGATACGTTGCTTCACAATCACTGTAGGCTGAAGTTATTGAAAGATAAAATATAGACTCCAGACAGTATTTATATCTCCAAGGTCCTCCTGACCTGCACTTCATGTCGTCTTTTTTGCTTTCAAGGGGCCAGAGTTTCTTGTCATAAAGTCTTTCAAATATTTTCTTTTTACACTGGTTGTTTTTTCACTTATTCTCAGTACAGTCCTTCATAAGCAACATAACACTGACCTAGGAATCATTCAAGCATTGAAAAGGCACCTAACTCATGGGATAACCCAGTGCTATGTCTACACGTAACAGACATCTTGTCAAAGAGCCCATTTTAAATTTGATCTTTAGGCCCTCTGTTGCGAAACACATCATTTGTACATATTTCTTCAGCTGGAAATCTGAGAAACACCCCCAAAAAACAGTTTAATAGACATAAAATATTTTTGAACTTGCAGGTCCTCACACAGAAATTGTTCATAAGACAGGCTTGTGACACGCATCGCCACTTTGTGCAAACACAGCTTGTTTGAATATGTGATTGCTTTATTTGCAATCATGGCCAGCTCGACTTCTCTTGATTTCTGAACGTACCTGTACACCTGCTGTGATAGCAGCAACACCCTCAAGCAAATTCAGTTTAATTACAATTTTGTTTATGCCAAACTCATCTGATTTATGAGCCTCGGTGTGAAGAGAAAAAGAAAAGTCCATGTTTTACCCATTCATGTTCCATCTTTTGTGGCTTCCTCGGTAAAACCCCAGAAAGTGAGCTACCTTAATAGACCCCTCCTCATGCGATGGAATTGTGGTCTTGTTCGAAGTGCGTTGAAATGTATCCATCCTAACCCATAACTGCATTCAGTCCTCTAAGTGTGGCTTGAGTTTCACTGACCAATCCACTGGAAACACACCACATCATTTAAGCATTTCCATTTGTACTTTAAGATAGCCATCCACTGTGGTTCTGTGTAATTGCATTTGGACTGTGAGAATCCATAGTGTGGTAGCTGCAACCCTCTATGCAACCATTTCCTATAGGAGCACTTGAAGTAAAGTAGAGGCTAATGCTTTGTGGCTCTGTAGATATGGAGTTTTGCTGGTTCACTCTCATTAGGAGGGAGAGATGCATGTTATATTAGCGTTGGGGTGTCAGTCTGCAGTAATTGCTTGATAAAGCCATACAGCTGTTTGTGGGGGGAAAAAAGGAGGAGCCAGCTGCTTCTTAACAAAAAAGGAGCCCACTTTTCCTGCAGTTCATCAGAACTAACTCAACCTAAATAAAAAGAGGCAGGTTCCTGATGTGACCAGTACATACAAATAAAAATTAGAAACTTCCAGACTTGCTTCTAAGCCTTCATTTACTTCCCATCCAATTTCATTTGCAGTTTTGGCTGCTTTATTGGCCTGTGTGTCCCTGCTCGTATATCATGCTGGGAGAGGCCATGAATAAGCATGTGAAAACCTCTATCAGAAAATATAATTTTGCTGCCAAAGCTTTAGTGTCAATCTGAATTGCTGCAGTGCTTCAGTGGCTTACATAATTACCTCCAGTCCTGATGAGAATTAATTTTGTAGATTGGCAAAGAGAGGCTGAATGTTCAATCAAATATCAGTGGAAGCTGATGGTAATTGAAGGATTTGGCTATTGGGTTTTGCTGAATAATGTTACATTAAAATCTATTATTATGATCTAAAAGTTGCTGCTAAGCTTCTCAAGTCAGGGGAAGCATTTGTTTAAATGTATGTGGTCTCAGGTGAAAACAGTCTTCCATCCTTAGTTATGCTGCAGCATCTCTCATGAATTCAAAAGTACCTTTGGGTCTAATGTTTGTTTTCAGCCTGAGCAGAGTCTAGTAGTAGTAACTGATTTCAAGCTTTTCTCATGTAGGCTGAGCTCTGCCAACTTTTAAATGATCGACCAAGAGTGAGCAACACAGATATGACCATCTTTATCTTTGCCAGCCTCTACAGCACGAGGCTGTAAAAGCATAAAACCTTATCAGTCCTAGTAATTATCCAGGTGATTCTGTGGTTTTGCTTTTCTCCTGCCTCAGTTTATTGTGAACATCATATGCAGTTATCCTTGTTGACAGTGTTCACAGAGATTTGCACACTTCAGGCAGTAAATGTATAAACTTCAAACAAGGCAAACGTTTTTACCTAATCTTGGATTTTTTTCAAAGTAAATATTGTTCTGAGTTTGTGAAGCCAGTTTGAATACATTATAAATAATATAAAACTTTATTGTGTTTGTTCATTTTTATTTTCATGTACTTTTTAGGAAAGGGAGGGATTATATTTAGGGTTTGTAGCACTTTGTGAATGCACAAAGCACAAAGCATCACTGCATTTAGTGGCTTAGATTATCTCTGCTATCAGTTCTACTTGAGCGTACTACTTGTCATTATGTGTATTAGCTCAAATACTTGTCTGGTTAAGTTGTAGGAAATTACATGTATGTTTAGCGGTCTCTGGGCATGAATTCATCTGTATTTATATTGGAAATTTTTCGGAAAATGTTCTGTCTAAATTGCCATATGTCAGAAGCCTAGCACGGGACAGCTCAGGCATCAGCCACGTGAAATCAGTCGCAAAGAGCACTAAAAACTTTGTTTATTAGCAGGTTGTGGGAGCCATCTGTAGTTTGCATGAAAGATGCAAACCTCTCTCCAAACACCTGCCTTTTACTCTCCAGGCAGTGAAAAGTGCAGTGCAAACCGAAATGGAGAACATTTGCTTTACTGCTACAACAAACAGATTTCAAAGGTCTGCGTTTCCTGTTTGCACCACACTTTTCAGTTTCACTACCATTTGGTGAGTAGTTTGTGTTTGTCAGCATTTCATGTGCAAACTATTGGTGACTGTCAGCTAACAGAGCACACACTCAACAATTTGTAGGTATTTTGCGCATGCTACACCAACAACTTTGCACGTGTTTTCAGTGGGTTGTGACATAACTGCAAACAGTTTCTTAGTGGGTTGACGGCAGCTTTGTCAACAACTCTTCCACTTTTTTGATGTTCAGATCAACACTTGTTAAGTTTTTGTTTTTTAAAACTTACTGTAACATTGTAAGTTGTGATCTTGTTTAATATCATCTGTGTTTGAGGAGGCGTGCAAGCAGTAATACTGAGAGTAAAGAAGGTGGAAACTGGTGCGATTATGAATGACATCAGTGTTTAGGTCAAATCTGATATTGCTGTGGAAATAGATAATTATGTTTTTATCTTAATAAAGGAGATTCTTATTAAATCCTGTGATTCATGTTGCTGGAGTTTTATTCACATTATTCAAACAGGAGCAGCAGGAGCAGAAAACCATATCGATACAAATACATACTTTCAGACTGTATTCTTTACACTTTTCTTGTTTGTATTTCATTTGTTTATTTTCATTTTTTCTTTTCCTCCCATGTCTGTGCTTATTGTTGTGTCATAAACCTAATAAAGCACACATTCTGCACTCTTAGTTTACTCTGTGCAAAACATGTTCTGTCGTGTTTACACATTTTTATCCCCCTCTTTTCCACCCACATGCACAGCACACTCATTCTCCGGATGTCATGTTGTAGAGAGGTCTGGGTCAGCTTGATGTGGGAGTGATAAAAGGGATGGAGTTTGCTGTTGAAAACAGACTGATGTGGTAAATGTTAAACACAGACGTAGATTCAGTTTTTAAGACTCCTGCAGAATTGTGCACTAGCATGAATGTCCTTTGGGAGTTGCTGGATTTTATTCGTATTTCTCAGACTGAACAAGGAGCCCTCTTCCTTCTGTCAACAATGTTGCCCAAGGAAAGGATGTCCAACCACCATCTGTTTCTCCAGACAAGTTAGATTTGCAAATGATGAGTAGTATTATGTGCTCTCTGAACAGGAAAATGATCATTAATTTAGTTTTAGGCATTAGTCTCCTAGTGTGACACAGCAGGTTGAAATATGCACAATGCATAGCCACATTTCACTGCACATCCTTCCTGCACACTCAAATATCATTTTCAGCTTGCTCAGGCCATTTAACCACTCATCTGTCTTTCATATAAAGATGTAAGATGTCTTTTTCTCCTTTCAGTTTCTCCACTTCTCCTCACGGGCGTACCCGCCAACAGAGGGTCAGTTCGGCGGTCGAATCCGGTGGCAAGGCACCCCGGCACGTGGAGATGCTTCCATCTCTTTAATCAATGCCACACTGAATGACAATGGGACCTTTACATGCACAGTCAGAAACCCTCCTGATGTCCATGGGTCCACGACTTCACATACTGTACTTACTGTCACACCAAGGGGTAAGATGCTAACCTAACAAGTAGGGCTGGGGCGATATGACCTAAAATTCATATCGCGATATAATTTGAAGCATGTGCATTAATGATATATATATCGCAATATATTCTTTTCTTCTGTATAACGTATTTTCCACACTATAAGGCGCACTTAAAATCCTTTAATTTTCTCAAAAATCGAGAGCGTGCCTTATGTATGAATTCTGGTTGTGCTTACTCACCTCGAACC